ATATTAAGTACAAGGGAAAAGTAACATTAACTGTACATCTTCAAGATGGTCAGCATTATCACATGAAGATGAAAATACTAGCTTCTGACTGCAACATAGACTGTAAATAGTAGAAGCAGGACATTCTTCTGCTTATATCCAAACATCCCGGTTTTCCTCTCCCATTGAAATTACTGGAAGCATTTTCACTGACTTCAGAGGGCAAGAGGACTGGGTTCATAGGAATATTTTCTTTCATTTCCGCAGCATTTTGATTAGACCCTTGGAGAGGACTAGCACTGATATCTGAAGCACTATAAATTAATCAGACTGCATCTGCAAAGTGTGCATATTCTGCCTAGAAGTAGAGAAGTTCAGTACATACTGTTACTCAGTTCTCTGAGGAGGTGAAATCTATTTTATCTTTTCATCAAATATTATCTTCTTTCTAAAATCTTTGTTTCACCTTAAACTAAATCCTTCTCCTGAGAAGTCTTAAAGAGGGCATGGCTGATGTTCCTTCCCTTTCCTCTCTCCAGAAACAAGAGCTCTTCTTTCTCTCCTTATCCATCCTTTTCAGATCTCGCTGGCCCTTAAACAGGTCCCATTGTAACCATCCTTATTACCATACACCCACAGTGGCAAAGCTTGCTTTTTTTACTTCTTCATTTAACTCATGCTATTTCTTGTACTAACATGTTGAAAGTTGTTTGTGTACAAAGTCCTATGCTTAAGCTTTCTTACACAGTCTCTTCTCCATGTCCATGGAAGCAGGCTAAGGGCATTAGGGATTTCTCAACAGGGGGAAATAACGCCAGTCAGCACATACTCAGACAAGAGTCGCATTTTTTTCACAGGATCATTCAGGATAATTTCAGACAGGATCTACTTAAGCATTTGGAAATCAGAAAAAGCTGAAATTCAATGCCACAGAGAGAACACTTTCAGATATTTGTATGAGAATGACATTGTGAACATATATAACGGTATTTTACTTATATCCAGTGCAGCCATTGGTCAACACAGTCATATATAGGCTTCCAAACATTAAAAATATAGGACCATCCAGTATTCATCTACCATAAACTGACTATGCTTGACACAACAAAACAAAAAAGAACAAGCTGCAACATTAGAGACAGAGAGGTTGTTTCCCGAGCATAGAGTAGGCATACTGGTCAAGATCTATTTTGTCTTCTGATAAATTTCAATATTCAGTGCAACAGAAGATGATAGCTGCATGTGTAAGTTATCTGGCTTTCCTCATGCTGAACGACTCACGCAACATACTTGCAATCATTGCTAACTGCTAGTTTTTTTCAGAGAAATACATGAGGTAAAGTATACTTGAAAAGGTAAGAAGATGGTCTGATGGACAGAAAAAAGGCTGACAAATTAGGATTTATTAATTCTTTTCTCGCTGCCACCAATGACTTAGTGTGTTGCCTGGGGCAGATCTCTCAGCTGCTCCATACTGTGGTTCCTGCATTTGCAAAATAATATTAGCCAAAAGGAATCTCATTTAACACAATTAATGTGAGTGAAGGGTTTTGAGAACCTCATACAAAAGGTGCTATAAATGTACAATCTGTCATCATATTGTACTGTTTCAGGACCATGTGACCCATTTCTGTAATACATCCCACTGACATAAAATGCAACATAAAGTCACACAGAAAGAATGCGCTTAGGAATCAGCGCTAGAAGTGACACCTACCCAACATACTATTTTCCCAAACCAGTTATGATTTCAGATATACAGATAAACTATAAATATTCTGTTGAGGACACAATGCACTTTTTATGCAAAGAGTTTCCTTACTGTTTTAAAGCATTGGGTTGGTTTTTGATTCACTGAATTATCAGCAGAGTTTAACCAACAACTGGCTCACCTTTGAGATTTCTTATCCAAGTACTGATCTGCCCAGTCTTGTTGGGTTTATTATGAGTTCTGATGAGATCACTTCCTTAGATAACACAGCTGCAGGCTGCTTAACTATTCTCAATTTTTATATGCAGAAACAGAACATTTAGTACCACTTGTAATTGATAGCAGATTCAAATGATATTATTTCAAGACAAGACTTTTTGGCCTGTGTTCCACAGAACTACCAATCAGTACTATGTTCTGGGGCACAGTTGTCCCCAGGCTGCACCTCCTGTCACCTTGTGGCTTACTTAGCTCGAGGCCATGTTGGTTACGTACTTTCTTGCTCAGGAATTAAGCAAGAGTAAGCATTTATTTTTGTGTTTGTCGTAACAACTAACTTCTGACTGACTTGCTAACTCAGGACAGTAAAAGAAGTAGAGTAAATGTAAATACACACTTGCATTTTTATGCTGTTTCCTGAACTGAATAGGAGATATGATGTGGGCACAGCTTGTTGGTATCTACTTTTGGTCATCTCTCCAAAGTACACTTGAAAAGCACTGGTTTGTTGTAGCACTTTATACATGTATGATACAGCAAAGTACTCAGAAGGTGAATGCAAAGATTCTAATCAAGTAAAGATCTTGGAAACAATTTATATTCTAGCATTCTAGCAGAGACAGTTTTGAGAATTTTTGTTGGGCTTGTTTCCAGTGAGCTTGTCCAATTTTACTATGGACTTTATCATCAGAGCTGCTGTTGTCTCCAGATTGATCTGTTCATGAACAACAGCATTTGTTCAAGGGGACCAATTGTTTTAGATTCAAAATGTCATAGTCCTGCTTTTATTGGAATATGTCATCCTCTCTCACTTTGCCATCCAGGTATTTAAGTTTGCTTTTGCCTTTTGTGGTGAATTCTCAGATATCCCATATCAAATATGGGATATATATTTGAACATTTGGTGGTGGGTTAGATTTCTGGATTTTCTTTGTCAGTTTTATGAAAGAACTCCCATAAATCTTCATCCAGAAAAGATATATTTGGAATGGACTCTGTGCCTCACAAGAATTCTCAGTGTTTAGCAAGATAGAGTCCATGCTTCCCAGCAAATTTTTTTTTTGCATATTTTCAGATGTTTTCAGTCCCTTTCCCCTGCTCTTCCATTGTGTCCATCCTCCATCTAAGCTCATCTGTATCTCCTGTTTCCCCTTACCTTCCTTTTCCTCCTTTCTCTGTGCTTCTTCTTTGCCACCTCACTCTAGTTGGCTCCATTTTCCCAAATGCATTCCTCTTTATCTTTCTCACATCTCAACCACAACCTGTTGGTTCTTCTTTCTCTAGATCCTTGATTAAAAATGTAGGTGATATCCTGCTAATATGCGCTCAGTCTCTAGTGCTGCCCAGCAGACTTGTGAAGCTTCCATGTCTCCATGCAGTGATTAGTTTTGTTACACTCTGTTTCTTCTCACCCAACATATCTGGGTCACAGAATGTATTCAGAGTCATATCTGATTACTTCCATTATAGAAATAAAGTTTTTTCTATCATTTTAACTATTATTAGCCTTAAGGACCTAAAAACCACAAACTGAGCTTGATTCTGTTTCTGTTTCTGTATGTGTATCATTAGTAATGTTGTCTATTACAGTTCTGCTACAGAGGGAGTCAGATGTATTAGTGTCATCCCAATGGCAGTAAAGAAATTACCAGGATGTATGTAGGTGTCATTTTGCCTGCATCCATGTGTGTGTATATATGCATATATAGATATATATGGATATGGAGACAATTTTGTGGAGGCACTATTTTTTCCTGGTGATGATGCACAAATTGTAAGGCATGAAACTTGGCTTTTCAGCTGGAGTCCTGAAAAAGAATTATGCTTACTCTGAATGACAGCCTGAGAAAATATACTTGGAATGCTTCTGCATCATTTTTTTACATTTAAAAATTAGAACTGTAATTTTAAAGTTTTGCCTTGTATTTGCTCAGTCTGAAAGCCCTATATAGTGTCATACATCAGAAGACTCACACAGTTCCTTCCAGCAGCCTCTGATAACACTTTTAAACTAGAAATGAATCACATTAGGGAAATAAAGTGATCAAGATGCTAGCAGATAGCCTACTAGGCAAGGTGAACCTCTGATCTGATATATTATTGCAGTTCAATTGTTGTCACATCTCAGAGCTGTGGGAGAGATCATATATCAAATGTGGACTACATGTTTTCAGACGATGCCCTTAACTTTTTTCTTGGCTTCTTGGCTAACCTTCTTAAGTCAAAGAATCATTATTGTTTGTCATTTTGTCATAGTGTGGCTGTTCTTTTTCAATTCATGTAATAACAAACTGTTCTGGGCCTCAGATTTTATTACAGTATTTAAAGGTGGTTCACACTAGAAGTTTATCATGCAGTAACAGATATTCCATAGGTTATTTATTATGAGTGAAACTGAGAAGTTCAGGAGTGTTCAGACTTTTTAAAGGGATTATGAGGTGGGATCCAAATGGTGTGCAGTGACCCTCCTTCTTCTGTTCTCTTATGGTATTGCATGAACATTGTGAGTGACCAAGAGCACAGCTGGATAAGAAACACACAGTCTCCATTAACAAGAATCCTGGCACTCACAGGTTTAGTTTAAAATAGTCATATTCTTCAATATTAGGTTACAGTACCAGTTAAGAGTCATTTCCATAATCCCTGTCCAGCTTCTCCCCTCGATTTAGTGTTCCGAAGTAGCACAGACTTCACCTACAAAAAACAAGTTTCCTACTGGAAAAGCAAATTCTTCCTGAAACTTTCTCATACTGTTGACCAAGCTAATCATTGCTCCTGGCTCAGAAACTTCAAATTTTCTTTGTATTAGCTGTTGACATTTACACATCAAGGCCTTTTAACTAAATGTGTATGTCAGCAGATAAACTGAAGGTTTCACATTGGGGAAGGTTACGTTTTACTTAACAAGGGCCATTCATTTGTATGCACTGCCCATATTTGATAGTATTAGAAGTGTGTCAGCCCTACCAAAGGCACTGCTGTTCATTATTCATGTTTTCCAATTACTTCAAAATGATTGTACTTATTTTGTACACAACTAACATTTTCTTTCCAGAATACATTAATCGTTATTAATTTTGTATCTCTATAGACTCTTAACGTGACAGAGGAAAAATTTGTGTTGGATACACTAGCTGGATGCATAGCATATAAATCCTTATTGGATGTAGTAGTCAATGCCTTTTTTGTTCGGGATGGGAAATACTGCCTGGTTTCTGAGCGTAATCTTTATATAGGTAAGTTTTCTTTAAAACAACAAATATGTTTACCACAAAACTTAAAAAAACTATTATTTTACTAATGCCAGTCTTAATATTATACTACACGTGAAGCATTGTCATTGTGCTCAGTGCAGTATGAAATACAGGACCTTTTCCGTTGGCCTTATAATATAAAGCCTAAATACTGAAATTGTTATTTAGTCTGGACTTTCACAGGTGTTAACTGGAATTTTACCTTAAGAAAATTTTGCAGAATATGCCTGCATATTAGGTAACATGCAGATGGAAAATAGCATCGGTGACTGGGAGAAGTATCTTGGAAGTTTAACCATCACTTTAAAAAATGTTCTTTAGTGATTTCCCTTTATTCTCTTCTGTGCAACCTGGTACCTCTGCCTTTCAGATATTGAAATTCTATAACAAAGCTCTGTCTGCTGAGAAACACGGCATGTCTCACAGTATGAAGATATGATTGTCTCTGCCCATACATGGGTTTCTTCATTACTGACCATCACAATAACATAGACTTCTGGCTGTCTCTATGAGTGAGGTCAATTACTTTATTAATTTCCTTTTGTTAGTTACTTGGTTAGAAACAGTTACAATACAACTATATCTGGTAGCTTGAGGTAGTTAATCAGAGTAGTTACTATGCCCAAAGTTATTTCAGGCATTGAGGAGTACATTAAAAAGTAACGTAAAAAATATTTTTATGCTATGCATTTTAATACACATATACTGAGGTTGATTTATTAAGTCCCTAAATAAGTTGGAATCACAAATCGCGCTGGCTTTAGTTCTCTAAGTCAGATATCTTCTGAAGCTGTGTGGGTACTTTGAAAAGTCCAGTCAATTTAATTCAAAATGGTTGAAAAATACAAAAAACATATCTAACATATCTACACTTTATGTTTTAAAAGCTATTCAGTTTTTATGGCAATTCTGGTTGCTTCTGTCACAATCTGGAAAGGTACAGAAATCTAAATCAAATAATAAATGAAAGGGCACCTAAACTGTCAAGGATTAAATTAATAGTATATTGAGTTTATTCTAAATGGTAATGCTTCGTTGTCTCCATTTCTCCAAAGCCATGTTTTTCAGTGTCTGGGGCACATAAATTATACCTTTAAGCTGAGTGTTGCTATAATTGGATTGTCAGGACCGGTCCACTCAAAAGCCTCCATTAATCATAGGCAGGCAGTAGGCCCCGGAAAATTTTCCTTTATCAACAAGTTGAAAGTCTAAGGTCATTGGCTTACTTTTTTTTAAGCTGATTGTGGTTGCCTTTGCCAAGCTGCATTGACACTTAAATGATCAAAGCTGCTTATAAAGGCTGTTGCTATGTGTGAGCAGATTTGAATTTAATAAAGCTTGTAGGAGATAAATGTATATTCTGCTAAGACTGCTTAAATATGTTGCTATGCTAAAGCACAAGATTGAAGCCTAACGATACACTGAGTTGGCTACAGCCCATTGCTCAGAATTTACTGATTTTATCATTACCATTTGGTGGCAGCTAAAATACTGCAGTGCCAGTGAAGCCTGGCTGATCAAAGTGAATATGGTCAAAGGAAAGCTGATACAGGAGCTCATGAACTTTACAGGTCTGCAAAAATCTCAGAGCACTGACTGTGCCTCTTCCTGTATCAAACTGCATACTTGCCAGAGAGGGGTGTAAGAATCAGATTTGTATTCCCCAGAGAATTTCACAATTTAAAAACTTGGTTTTATTCTAATACACAATAAAAACAGAGATTACAACACTTTCTGCAAAATGGTCACTTGCAAAAAAAAAAAAGAATTGTATTTTACATTTAAAATTTTTGTTATGTACAATATTGTTATCATGATAAACTATGATTTTGGAACAGAAGTATAAGAGCTATCCTCTCTGAAAACATTAAGAACAGAGTATGTTGAAAAATTCACTATCAAGCTTTCTTTTATGTCTCCTGTTCACATAAAATTTTCTCAGAATAAGTTGCTTGCACTGAAAATTTTGGTTACACTAAAAGACAGCTGTTTCCAACAATGTAATACTGTCAGAAACTTTTCAGTCACGTCTCTCAGGAGCCATCTGACTCTTCTTCTCCCTGCCTTATTGCCAGACTAACACAGAATTTCACAGATGGAATATACAGATAGTTGTTGTATAATCTGATACTACTATCCAAAGGAACAAGCCACTCTTTTTCTCATCACTGGCTACTCACCCTCACCCCTATGTCATATCTTCTCTTGAGTTAGAACTTGTGTTTAGCGGCCGTTCAGTGAACTGATCAAGAAAGTGCTTCAGGTTAAAATTCACCACCTTTTTTAACTTGGCTGTGTGGGTGACTGAACTTGCCCAAGAGAAGAAACAGCAGGAAGTAAAAGGAGGGGATGAGAAGAAGCAATTAGGAATTGACAGAACTGCTTATTTTAGTGGTGATGTTGGCATACTGAAATGACTGTGAAATCATGGCAAGATCTTACCTTCAGCATACAGGATTCCCAACGCTGGTATGGTAGATCTCCCAGTTTTGCAGACAGATATTTGCAGGCACCAGAAAGACCTCTGTGAATGACTTGAGAGAGCTACAATTGTTTTACATTTTTTGTGTAAGTGGCCAGATCCTCAGCTGTTAAAATTCCATAAAATATGTATATTTGCACTAGCTTGGATCTGACTCACGAAAGAGATAACTGATTTATATGAACCATAGCATAGAGTCACGATGCTAATAGAGAACATAGGGTTAACATTATAACTTCATATTACAACTTCTCATTGTCAAGCATTGCTCAGTTAGATAAACAATATTGAAGACTGTTTAAAATTAAAGTAACAGTCTAAATCTCAGAATATGCTGAGTACAGGGTATAGGTTTATTAGAATTTCCTGATGTGTTTTAAATGTATGTATCTTTTGATAGTTATTTGCTACCTGGCTACTTTTCAACTAGAAGAGCTCGGTCTTCAGCACTTCAGCAGAATTGTGAAATCTCTGGACACTGCAAAAATGCAAAAGGTAATAAAAGTACAGAATATTTTAAAAAATAATTAATGATCTCTTCATTGTGTTTCATTAATCAGATGACTTTTCTCAACTTTCAGGATAATTTAAATTGAGGACTTAGTGTTATTTTCTGTTTAAATTCAGAAATTAAATTAGTATTTTGTTATCACAAAAAACTTTAATTTCTACGCCTAGGCAGTGACTGTCTCATGTTCAGTCAGAGATTAATTTAAAATGTATTTTATATAATTTGAGAAGGTAGAATAATCACATGATTTACAGTTCGTATGATTTACAGTTGTCCCTCCAACTTGCATACTCATTCTTGGCTCTGCTCACTTTCTTTGACTCTTGGCAGCAGAGGTTTTTCCCATACGCAGT